TGTGCCAGGTTATGTCGATCACCGAATCGAAAAAACATTAAGAGCAGATTTTAATTTACTTTATATTTGATATTTAGGTATACTCATATGACTAAAATTTCGCGCTGAAAACTTTTGTTTAGAAGTTAAACTACGGTTATCATAGTAAAATCTTGAGTTTTCTACTTTCTCAATGAGAAAACAGAAAAATCGTAAATAACTCAAGATTTTACTATGATAACCGTAGTTTGACTTCTAAACAAAAGTTTTCAGCACGAAATTTTAGTCATATGAGTATACCTAAATATCAAATATAAAGTAAATTAAAATCTGCTCTTAATGTTTTTTCGATTCGGTGATCGACATAACCTGGCACAAATATGAGACGTGCAATTCTATTTTATAATTTGCGAATAAAACTATGTTGCCATATTTAATACGTATATATTAATATATAAATCTTAGTAGGTCTTTATAATTTAATCGTTTAAATAATACGATTAAAATGTTATAACTTTCCTTTTAGTACGTAAAGCACTGTAACTTGCAGATGATATAAAAATATATAGCGTGATTTTAAAACTATGTTTGTTACCATATCTAATATTAATATGTAAATTTTAGTATATATATATATATATATATATATATAGTTCTCTATAACTTAATCGTTCTAATCTTTACAATTTCTTCTTTTCGGGACATAATCCGTTATTAGTTATATTTACAATAGTATATATAACGAAACTTGATAGACCCAAAAATCTATTATATCCATAGTTGATTGTATCTAATACATGCAGTATACAGTATCTACGTACATGGAAGTTCCAGATTTAATTGAACAAATTTCAAGTTAAAGGAATATATTTATTCAAATTTTGTTTTGCAAAAAAGAAATTAAAAATATAATTTATACATGCTACCTCAAAATTTAATATCACACAAAGTAGCGATAGAGAAATTAACATTTATGAAAAGTTTTTAAATTTATAATATTTACCATATCAGTTGTTGATTAGGTAAAGCATCAATTTGTACTTGCTGCAATTCTCTAGCAATCCTTTCGAAAGCTTGATAAGTTAATCCATCAGTAGTTGTAATTGCTAAAGAATATCTATCACCCACACGGCTATCCTCAAAAACTAATTCAGAAAATGTAGTACAACTACTATTCCTATCACTTAAATTACTTCCACCTACATCACTGCTATCACTAAATATAGTTATTGGTAATATATTAACTCCCCTTTGACGTCTCATTGGTAAAGTTACAAACATTGGCATCTGTCGATCATCAATTGAAGATGAAATGTTTACAGAAGATTGGAAATTCTCAATCCACGATACACAATCATTTCGATTAGTTACTTGAAATATAAATTGATAACCGGTTGCTATAAGAATTCTGAGAACGTTCTGTCGTTTAGTGTAGTCAATAGCTAAATTTATTTTTGCGCAGTCCATACCAAATTCTCGTATTGGTACTGCACGCTATTGATTAATATGAGCAATAATTAATTAATATTTAGTTAATTATTGAATTATTGAATTATTGGTAGTACATAGTAAGTAATAACATTAAAAAGAATTGTTGACTTACATTGACGTCAAATGGATCATTTTTATAAATTCTTAACAGCGTACCCCATAAATATAGATAAACTTTTCTGTATAAAATTAATTATAATTAGCAAAAGTCA